TCCACACCTGTGGCAAGCCAAAATGCTGCAGCATCAACACGCACATGCACGACAGTAACATACACACCAGGGGCCTCCCCGGGGCCCTGAGATCAGCACTTCCGCTCCAAGAGGCCCGCAGGAGGCCCCCCAAGAGGCCCCCAAGAGCCCAAGAGGCCCCCTGGAGCCTGGAGGCCCTCTAGCGGCCCCACGAGGCCCCAAAGAGGCCCAAAAAGAGGCCCCAAGAGCACCCCAAACGGCCCCCAAGAGGCCTCCCAAATTGCCTTCAAGAGGCCCCCGGGAGGCCTCCCACGAATTCCAACCAAACTTCAAGATGCCTCCAACCCATAACCCAGGCACGGTGGCGGGATGGGCCGAAGGCCACCAGATGGTCCGCCGCCCCCTGTTGCTTGCAAGAGGGGTGCCTGGCGTGCTAGACGATTTTGGTTTTGGTTTTGGTTCTTTTCCAAAAGAACTCCCCCTGGGGCTTCGGTCCGTCCCGCCGGGGTGCCGGGAGGATTGCCCAGGAGCTCAATCCCGGGAACAATCCTCCAAGACGGCTCAAGATGGCCTCCAAGATGGCCACGTTGGCCCAAGATGGCCTCCAAGATGGCCTCCAAGATGGCCTCCAAGACGGCCCAGAGGAGGAGATGCCTCCGAGTCCGCCCAAGAAACCTCCAAGACGGTCCAAAACGACCTACGAGGTGCCCAAGAGGCCTCCAAGACGGCCCAAGAGGTTTTCGAGAGGTCCCCCAGGAGGGCCCGAAGAGGCTAAAATCATTGATTTTCTTTTGGTTCGTACATGTTTTTCGTATTTGCTCCTTTCGGCTTTCCGACGACCCAAGACGGCCCAAGAGGCTCCCAAGATCGCCCCCAGAGCGCCGAAGAGGCCTCCAAGATGGCCTCAGGACTGCCCAAGAAGCCCCCAAGACGGCCCCCAAAGGACTCCAAGACGGCCCAAGAGGCTTCTAACACGCCCAAGGAAGTCTCCAAGAGGGCCCCAAGTCGGCCCAGAGAGGCCCCCCAAACGGCTTCCGACGGCGTCAGACGGGCCAGGAGCCCACCAAGACGGCCGAAGATGGCCCTAAGATTGCCCCAGAACGGCCCCAAGAGGCCTCCAAGAGGGCCTCCAGGAAGGCCCGAAAAGGCCCAAATCATTAATTTCACATGAGTTTTTGAACGATGTTGGGCATTTGCTTTTTTCGGCCTTCCGACGGCCCGAGACGTCCCAACTGCCCCCAAAGATCGCCCAAGAGGCCCAAGACGGCTCCAAGAGGCCCCCAAGACGGCTCAAGAGGCCTCCAAGTCGCTCAAGATGGCCTCCAAGACGGCCCAAGAGCCCTCCAAGACGTTCTCCAAGAAGGCCCGAAAGTGTCAAAATGGCCTCCAGACGGCCAAGATGACCTTCAAGATGCCCACGTGTTCTCCGAAGGCTTTCCAAACCGATTCGGGGAACACATGGTCCGATAGCTTGGCAGGTCTGGCCTCAACGTTCGGCCACATAGGCGCTTCCACAAAGGCAGGGGGGGGGCGGTGATTCGCCGTAGGCGTCTTCGATCCGAAGCCCCTCGTTGATTCAGCACATGGGGTGCCTGGTTTGGTGTTGGTTTTTTCCCAGCCATCCTGTGGTGTTGGGTCCTCGTTTTGAAGAGACAGCGCCCCGCGTCCCACCTCCTTGCTCCTTCCTCCTCCTCTCCTCCTCCTCCCTCCTCCCCCCTCCTTGCTTTTGCTCTCCGCATGTCTCAGCTCCCCCCTCCTCCGATCATCAGCATCATCATCATCAGCATCATCATCATCATCATCAACATCATCACCATCACCATCACCATCACCATCACCATCACCGTCACCGTCACCATCACCATCACCACCACCATCACCATCACAATCACCATCACCATCACCATCGTCATCATCGGCATCATCGGCATCGCCATGGCTGTTTCGCTTCGTGGCCCCATAGGGAGCTCCACCGAAGGCCCCAGTGGGGGGGGGGCACATGCGTCCCCCACGCACAAGACAGCGTTTCATGGCCCCATAGGGAGCTCCACCGAAGGCCCCAGTGGGGGGGGGCCACATGTGGCTCCCACGCCCATGACAGCGCTTCGTGGCCCCATAGGGAGCTCCACCGAAGGCCCCAGTGGGGGGGCCGCATGCGTCCCCGACGCCCAGGACAGCGTTTCGTGGCCCCACAGGGAGCTCCACCGAAGGCCCCAGTGGGGGGGGGGCACATGCGTCCCCCACGCCCAGGACAGCGTTTCGTGGCCCCATAGGGAGCTCCACCGAAGGCCCGCCCCAGTGGGGGGGGGCCACATGCGCCCCCCACGCCCAGGACAGTGTTTCGTGGCCCCATAGGGAGCTCCACCGAAGGCCCCAGTGGGGGGGGCACATGCGTCCCCCACGCCCAGGACAGCGTTTCGTGGCCCCATAAGGAGCTCCACCGAAGGCCCCAGTGGGGGGGGCCACATGCGCCCCCCACGCCCAGGACAGCGCTTCGTGGCCCCATAGGAAGCTCCACCGAACGCTCCAGAGGGGGGTGCCGCATGCGTCCCCGACGCCCAGGACAGCGTTTCGTGGCCCCATATAGGGAGCTCCACCGAAGGCTCCAGTGGGGGGGGGGGGGCACATGCGTCCCCCACGCCCAGGACAGCGTTTCGTGGCCCCGCCGGTGGGGGGGGCCGCATGCGTCGCCCACGCCCAGGACAGCGCCTCATGGCCCCATAGGGAGCTCCACCGAAGGCTCCAGAGGGGGGTGCCGCATGCGTCCCCGACGCCCAGGACAACGTTTCGTGGCCCCATAGGGAGCTCCACCGAAGGCTCCAGAGGGGGGTGCCGCATGCGTCCCCGACGCCCAGGACAACGTTTCGTGGCCCCATAGGGAGCTCCACCGAAGGCCCCAGCGGGGGGGGCCACATGCGTCCCCCACGCCCAGGACAGCGTTTCGTGGCCCCATAAGGAGCTCCACCGAAGGCCCCAGTGGGGGGGGGGGCCGCATGCGTCTCCCCCACCCAGGACAGCGTTTCGTAGCCCCAAAGGGAGCCCCACCGAAGTCCCAGTGGCACAGTTCGCGTGCGCCTCCCCCGCCCAGGACAGCGTTTCTTGGCCCATAGAGAGTACCACCGAATGCGATACTCACAACGACGGTATTCACAACTGCGTATGGTTGGGTCCTTCGCCAGGCCAATTCCAGAAACCCTCCCCCCGGGGCTCCGGCCCGGCCCGCCGACCACCCAGAAGGCCGCACAGTCGAGCGCAGACGAGCACAACCTCCGGAACACGTTCTCCAAGACGGCACAAGATCGCCGTAAGTCGGGCCTGTCCCTGTTCTGGGGGAATATGCAATAATAGTCCAAAAATGGTATGGGGAAGATTTCTTGAGTATTTTTTTGATAATTTTACTTTAATTTTTTCGTCCAAAGTCCCCTAAAAGATAGCCTCCTAGACGGCCAAGACGGCCCAATCTGGCCTCCAAGATGCCTCCAAGATGGCCAAGATGGCCTCCAAGACGGCCCAAGAGGGTCCAAGATACTTCCCGGCCCGCCCAAGAAGCCTCCCAGACGGCCCAAGATTGCCCAAGAGGCCTCCAAGACGGCCCAAGAGGCCTCCGAGAGGTCCTCCAGGAGGGCCCGAAGAGGCTAACATCATTGATTTCCCATTGGTTTTGTTTGAAGGATTTTCGTATTCCTTCCGACGGCCCAAAACGGCCCAAGAGGTCCCCAAGATCGCCCCCAGAGCGCCCAAGAGGCCTCCAAGATGGCCCAGGAGCCCACCAAGACGGCCGAAGATGGCTCTAACATGGTCCAAGACGGCCGAAGATTAAGGTGGGCTGCCTCCCCCCTGGGGTGGTCCAGAGCGCCCGCACGGACAGTTGGGCAACGCACTCGGTGCGGCCGGCCAGGGGCGCTCGAGAGACCCAACCGAGACCGCGAGACCCCGCCAGCCGACGCACCAGATCCACCAGGGAGGGAGGGCGGGGAAGCTGGCGACGCCAGCCAAGAGCCCTTGGCCCGCAGACGAAGCATCGTACGCCAAGCGCCCTCCTGGGGCACCCTCGTCGTTTCGCAGACGCCAACTCCGAGCACCACGAGGTGTGCTTGGGCCCCCGGGGAATCCCCACGGGCCCACACGGGAGCCAGCGACACGGCGCCTCCTTTGCCAGGCCCTCGGGCCGCCAGGGAAGGCACAACACAATTACCCCCTCGGGAGCGAAAGCCGACACTTGATACCCCGCCTCGGACTCGGGCGGAAAGCAATGCAGCCAGTAGCGACGAGTCCCCGAATCCAGCCATGGCGACAAGGATGCAGCCTGCCCATAGTCTTCTTCCCCAGGAACCATGCTCAGGGACGACGAAGATTATGGTGGGCTGCCTCCCCCCTGGGGTGGTCCAGTGCGCCCGCACGGACAGTTGGACAACGCACTCGGTGCGGCCGGCCAGGGGCGTTCGAGAGACCCAACCGAGACCTCGAGACCCACTGCTGGGGCTCACGGCGACCCAGGCCGCACCCCCCGCTGCTGACGACGTGACCGCAGCCCTTGGAATACCGCCGCCACTGCAAAGGCCACGTCGGGGAGGGCTGGGGGGGGGAGGGGCGGCGGAAGGCACGGCGCAAGCATTCCGCGCATGGAAGCGACATTTTACTGGCTCACGGCGCCGGCGCCCCCTCGGACGCAGACGACTCTGAGAACTCAACGAGCCACTCCGCCGCGGTCGCCGCGTCCCGCGACGCCGCGGAAGCGTAACCGAAGGCCTCCACTCCCCGCCATCCCCCGCTGTGGAACAGCGCGGGGACGCCCCCAGCCGCCAGGCACTCGTCCGCCCACCCGCGGCGGAAGGCGTGCGTGCCCCACTCTCCCGCGCGCTCGAGGCCCAGCGCCAGCGCCGCCACCTTTTCAGCTGGGCCAGGGCGTGCCTGTATGACAGCGCCGGAAAAACCCGCCCTGTCTGCACGCGACCGCGCAGCGCGCACACCCCGCAAAGCTGCCGGGACTGCAGGGCACGGATGCACCGCCTGGACACGACCGTCGTCTCAGTGTACGTCTTGCGCCGATGCAGGTGCACGCTGGCCGTCGGCACGCCGTCCACGGTTGACAGGACTACCTTGGAGTGGGGCCCGTCTGCCTGCAGAGGCACCAGTTCGGACGCGAATCGGAAGCAAAACTGCCTCGCCACTACGAACACATCCGCTGTCTCGGTATCGCCCAGAACCTCCTGGACGTGCTGCGCCAAGGAACGTGTCTGTCGCGCCGACGCCCGCGCTCGGAACCGCCGAGTGGCCACAGCCGCTTTGCTCGCACCACGCGCCAAACACGACGTGTCCTCCAGGCACCCCAGCGGCATGTGGAGCAGCCGGAGCACAGCGCGGATCTGCGTGCAGTAGGTCATCAAACTGGCACCGTTTTGCACTGCAAATGCGAATGCCCCGAGCACTGGCTCCGACGGGGGCCGAGCATCAACCCCCCGGTTCCGGGCCACTTGCCCCCACAGGCGCACTGGAGAAGCATGCTTGCATGCGCTCCGGTGCCACGCGAGCAACTCGCGTCTGAGGAGCTCCTGCGTTGCCATGAGCCCGGCCATGTCGGGCCCGATCTGGGCCGCGCGCTCCCGCGGATTGCCGGGGATGCCACCGTGGTGCTTCTCCCACGCAAGCCGAAACCAAGTGGCGCGGCCGCCACCTCCCCGGGGCCCACGAGCTCGCGCCGGAGGCGCGCTGCAGCGAGGAAGCCGAGCGCCGCCAGCGCAGCCTCGCCAGTCTCTGCGGCATGCCCTGTGGCCGGCGCCTCGTCCCCAGACCCCCTCGAGCAATGAAAAAATCATGACGGGATGTTTTTCCAAATTTTCGGCCTCCGGGGGCTCTCACCGGGCCTCGGGAGCGTCAAAAAACGACTCAGAATGCAAAGCCGGTCATGGGGAAAGGGTCCAGACCTCTGGGGGTCGACGTAATGAAAAAATCATTACGTCGGGGGTCTGGGTCCTCTTCATGCGCGGGCCTTTTGCTGGGGGAAACTTGCTGGCCGCCGGCGCAAGCGCGCCCCGTTGGGCGCGGGCCTCGGTCTGCGCGGCAGGCGGCCCCACCGCGGCGCGGGCCGAAACGTTGGACAAGGCCGCCGCGAACTCGTCTCGAAGCCCGTGGAGACACGGCCACACGTCCTTTAGCTCCTGGACGCCCAAGCCGGCAAACTCCGATCCGTCAACAGCGCCCCCCGCAGCCAGGCCCCTCAGAACGCACTGGGGCGACGGCGGATGGCACGCGGGAGGAGCGCGCCTGAGCACGGCGGCGAACCACTCGCTCAAAGCCACTGGGGCCAGCGTAAGCACCGCCGGGTCTGCCAGCGGCGGCACGACCAGGTTTGCCTGTGACGCGAGTGGGGCCAGCTCTGGGCCGCCATCGCCACGAGGCTGCTTGCCCCGCAGGCGTTTCCGGTCCATCTTGGGCCAAAGCGGCTACGGATGACAAGGAAAGTGGGCCCGGTGAGCCTGAATGACGGCAACGGACGACCGACATGCATTTCATGTTTTCCTTGAGCGAACAATGCGTTTTCCCTCACTGGTTCACGCCTGCCAAAGTCCACCGACGGCCAAGCCCACTCGAGTCGGGAAAAGCCACTGGCAGCCAAACGCTGCATCTCGCTTGCCTTTAGCTCCTCCCGGGTTGGCCAATCTGCAACATTGAGATGCGACGGCACGCGAAAAACGCTTAGAATATGGGCGCGGTCTGCGGCGAACCATATGCCGGACACTATGTCGTTCCAGTCGTGCTGCCGTGAGCAGCCGCGAAGCAGGGTGCCCAACGCCACTGTCGAGACTATGAACAACGCGATGTCAAGGCCACCCGCGCTCGCGGTTGATTCAAAGAAATACCACAGAGCGCAGACAGCGGCCACCAGCTCCCACGTGGCGATTTGCTGCCGGCGGAAGCACGCCCACCGGTTGAGCCAGCCGGGGACTCGCGCGGAAGCAAAAATTTTCTGGCCTGCAAGCACCGCGGCCCAAGCCAGCGTGCTTGCCCCTGTAGCGTCTGTGTAAACCACCAGGCGCGGTTTGCTTGATGGCTCCAGAGGCAAACTCCTACGAGGATTCGTTGCCAGAAACCGTTGCCACCATTCGAGCGCCCTGTCCAGGCGCATCGGCATCCGGCTGCTGTTGCCATAAGCGTGCCGGAACAGTGGGGCGAGGTGCACGCGAGCCCCCTTGCCAAAAACTTCCGTGGCTCCCCAGCTGAGCCGCCCGGCTAGTTTCTGCGCGCCTGCTGGGGCGAGCCTCCCGTTGGCCAGAATGTCTGAAATCTCTGCCAACCACTTGGTGCATTTTTCGGCCGGCACGACAAAATGCAGAGCCCGCGTCCCTGCGTCGAGGGACGCGCCCACGCCGAGTGCAGTGAAGCCGCGAGCGGCGGTGACCTCCTTTTGAGAGGCCAGCCAAGAGCCCTTGGCCCGCAGAGAAAGCACCGTACGCCTAGCGCCCTCCTGGGGCACCCTCGTCGTTTCGCAGACGCCAACTCCGAGCACCACGAGGTGTGCTTGGGCCCCCAGGGGGATCCCCACGGGCCCACACGGGAGCCAGCGACACGGCGCCTCCTTTGCCAGGCCCTCGGGCCGCCAGGGAAGGCACAACACAATTACCCCCTCGGGAGCGAAAGCCGACACTTGATACCCCGCCTCGGACTCGGGCGGAGAACAATGCAGCCAGTAGCGACGAGTCCCCGAATCCAGCCATGGCGACAACGATGCAGCCTGCCCAGAATCTGCTTCCCCAGGAACCATGCTCAGGGACAACCAAGAGGCCTCCAAGAGGGCCTCCAGGAAGGCCCGAAGAGGCCACAATCATTGAGTTGCCTTAGGTTTTTGAAGGATGTTGGCATTTGCGTCGTTTCGGCCTACCGACGGCCCGAGACGGCCCAAGAGCCCCCGACGAGCGCCCCAATATCGCCCAAGAGGCTTCCAAGATGGCTGAAGGACTGTCCAAGGGGCCCCCAAGACGGCCCCCAAAGGTCCCACATATGGCCCAAGAGGCCTCTAAGACGCCCAAGAAAACCCCAAAGACGGCCTTTGACAAGTCGGCCCAGAGGATTGAGTTGCCTGAGGCTATTGAAGGATGTTGGCATTTGCGTCTTTTCGGTTTACCGACGGCCCGAGACGGCCCAAGAGCCCCCGACGAGCGCCCCAATATCGCCCAAGAGGCTTCCAATATGGCTTCAGGACTGTCCAAGGGGCCCCCAAGACGGCCCCCAAAGGTCCCACATACGGCCCGAGAGGCCTCCAAGACGCCCAAGAAAACCCCAAAGACGGCCTTGGACAAGTCGGCCCAGAGGATTGAGTTGCCTGAGGTTTTTGAAGGATGTTGGCATTTGCGTCTTTTCGGCCAACCGACGGCCCGAGACGGCCCAAGAGCCCCCAACGAGCGCCCCAATATCGCCCAAGAGGCCGCCAAGATGGCCCCAGAACGGCCCAAGAGGCCCCCAAGACCGCCCCAGGATTCCCAAGACGGTCCAAGAAGCGTCCAAAACGCCCACGGAAGCTTCAAAGACGGCCCTGGAGCACCCCAAGAGGGCCCCAACCAAGTCAGGCTAGAGAGGCCCCCACGGCGGCTTCCGACGGCGTCAGACGGGCCAGGAGGCCAAAGAGAGCCCCGAGAAGCCCCCAAAGGCCCCCAAGAGGCCCAATGAGACCCCCAAGATGCTTCCAGGCTCCCAGGAAGCTCCCAGGAGGCCTCAAGAGCGTCCCCAGAGGCTCCCAAGATGCCCCCTCCTCCTCCTCCGCCTCCTCCTCCACCTCCTCCTCCTCCTCCTGGTCTTCCCCACCTTCCCCAAGTGTTCCCCGAAGGGTTTCTACACTGATTTGGGGAACACATGGTCCGATAGCTTGGCACAGCTCTTGCCACAACGCTCGGCCACATGGGCGATTCTAGAAGGCAGGGGGCGGCAGTGGTTCGCCGTAGGCGTCATCGATCCAAGACGCCCAAACGCGGCCTCCAGACGGCCCAAGAAGCCCCAAATATACCGAAGAGGCTTCCATGATATCTGGGCACTTACGATCACCCGAGGTTTCCAAAAGTCCCCCAAGAGCTCCAGGGAACCCCATCGAACGGCCAAACTCATGAAAAGACCATTGGGAGTCAATGATTTTCTGCTTTTTCGCATCTCCGCCTCCGACACGCTTCCGAGGCTTGAGGCCCCAAGCGAGCTACACGAGTATCCCAAGAGGCGCCCCGAGCGGCGCGAAGTGGAGTCCACGCTCTGAGCAGGCCCCAACGAGCTCCCAAGAGCCGCCCCGGAGGCACCCAGCGCCGAAGAGAGCCCGGAGAGGCCCCCAAGAGCTCCCAAGAGGCCCCCTGGAGAGCTCCAAGATGCCCCTAAGAGACGTCCCGAGCGGCTCTTGGGGGCATGCGCGAGCCTCGGAAGCGCGCCAGAGGCGGCAATGCGGGAACACAAAAGTCATGCATGTTTGAAGTCGGGCATGTCCCTCTACACGATGAAGATTGAAAAGCAGTAGAGAATAGTACGGTGGCGATTTTCATGCTTTGTTCAAAATGTTTCAAAACAATTTTGTGGGATTAGTTTTCTGGGCACTGGCTAGGCGAACGTGCGATGCACACGGTTGGAAAACATGCTACGCCGCGTGGTGCCACCATTATTCGTTTCGCCGCACTTGGTGGCGGCAGCCCGCGTTGTCGCGTTTTAGCAGAAGCGTGCGTATATGGCGATGTGTTTTGTGCAACGTACACAATGAGGGTCGACCGCGCGCAACCATCGTTGGACTGGATGGCGCGGCGCTGCGATTAGATTTGCGCGCAGCGTAAGCAACTCGACGAGCACACTCTGGCCAGCCGACGGTGGCCCTGCAGATTTGGATCCCTGCTTTTACCCATCCTGTTACGCACATCCACAAGAGCCACGCCCGATCAGTCTTTGTGCCCGCTGGCGCTCAAGTTCTCGCTGCAAAGCTCCAGTCTTCCCCCCCTCTTTACCCCTCGCTCCTGCGCGCCATCCCTGCGCATCCTCCCCACCCCGCTCCCTTCTCAATCAGGGTGGGGCGCGTAGACCAGCGCTTCCCACGTTCGGCCAGTGGGTCTGTTTTGGCAATCGCGCGGGGTATATTGCGCGAGGGACAATCCAGACCGGACAAGGCATGATCCCTTTGATGCCGTCGTCGAGTAGACGAGTGGAGTAGGAGTTGAGATGGAGCACGGCAGGAGTGGACTAGTCGGACTAGAGGTTGTCCGCGAGTCATGTTGACCGTAATTGGGTGCAGGATACGGTTAGAGTCAGTTCCGAGTAGGGCAGACTTGGAGTCGGCTTCGGGATGCCATATAGACATTATAAAAAGAAGAGGGGAATTGAATGTGCCCAGGGTGGAGTTGGTGAGGGTACAATTAGGCGTGCGATGGGGCAAAATTCGATTTGGGCTACATGTGCGCACTTGCATGTAAACTTACGAGCACATAACACTTGATCTTTGTCCATTGGATCGGCAACGTGGTCGCGCGGATCGCGCGTCGCCGAAAGGGGCGCAGCCAGCCAGGGCAAAGCAATGTGCCTACTTGCGCCGGCGAGCACGTGTACACACATATACTCATGTGCGCAGATCGGCGGCCCTAGCGCGCGCGTGGTAAAGCAGGGCCGGGAGCCTGCGGCGCGTCCCAATCGTCGTTGGCGCCGTCGGGGCACCCAGGGTGCAGACAAGCATCGTCGCCGGAGCAGCAGTAGTACCTCGGATGCCCAGAGTGAGTGCCGACGTGCCCCGTGAGGTCACAAAATGCTCCAGCGCAGGATGTCGCGCGCTCGCCGACGACGCAAAATGCTTCACCTGAGTATTTCAAGCACGCTGCGCGCGCAACATACTCCGACAATGCACCCCCGCAGATATCAAACGCTCTCAAAACAATTCCCCGCATATTTCAACGTTCGCACAATGCACCCGCATATTTCGCGCGCTCAAGAATTCAGCTTTGCCCAGACATATTCCAAAGACACTACTTCCGAACATCCAAAATGCTCTAAAGATGCTCCGGTACCATGCGCGAGAATTCCAACTCCGGTGCCATTTTTTGTTTGTATTTTTTTGTGCAAATGCGGCGAAGATCTTCCAGTGCAAATTGCGGATTTTGAGATGCCCCCCCTGCAGTTTGCGAAATCAAGATGCCCCAGATACCCCCCCGCGCCAAGATGCACCAGAATATGCTCGCCGACCACTGCGGGGCATGCCAACGCCGCAGGGCGCACCGCGTGGCCATCTTCGAGGATTCCAAGTCATCCAGGAGATGCCCCCGCGTGTTTACCGGACAGCACTGCCGCGAGGTGGGCCCCGTGGCCGTTTCTCGAGAACGCGATTATCTCGTAGCAAGGCTCCCCCCGCTTCGCCCGAAATCGCGCCGCGGCTGCGCGCGATGCAGTGGGCTCGCTAGCCGCTCAGATGCCCTGCGTCAGGGTT